CTCTGGTTTATAAAAAAAATAGATTCCCAAACCATAGATTGTTGTTAATGTTAAGTGCCATCAAGTAGTTTCCTACTTATGAGTTCCTCCTCTCTCTGTCCAAAATCTATTTAAATTTTAAATTGTTTTAATTGTTTCATATTTTAAAATGCAATTCAGTGACAACAGTAGGTTTATTAAAGGCTTCAGAACTATTCCTGCTGTTAAGCACCCTTGAGTTGAAGAGCTGCTGGTGGGTTTGAACCACCGACCTTGAGGTTAGCAGTCCAGTAATACCCTAGAGAGTCACACCAAGACTACAAATGCTCTAAACCATAGATATTGTTGTTGTCGTTATGTGCCGTGGAGTCCGTTCCGACTCATAGCGACCCTGTACAGGGTTTCCGAGGCTGTAAATCTTTACCGGAGCAGAAAGCCTCATCTTTCTCCCGCAGAACAGCTGGTAATTTCGAACTCATGACCCTGAGGTTAGCAGCCCTATTTGTAACCACTTTAATATTAATCACCAGGGAAATTGTATTGTTGTTATTGTTAAGTGCCTTTGAGTTGGTTATGACCCATAGCGATCTTGCATAGGGTTTCTGAGAAGTGGCTGGTGAGCTTGAACCAGAGATCTTACGGTTCAAACTGACCTTGAAGTTCAAACTGATCTTGCAAAATCATGGGTGCTGACAAACAAATAATACAACAGCATCTCAAGACAAACACCCAGGGTTTTGGTCTCTGATTCATTTAAAAGGCTCATAGGTTTCAAACATCGGTTCTTTCTCATTTCCAAAGTCAAGGTTTGTCAGGTCGGTCCTATGACAGCATGACTGAACTGGGTCTCCAGCACCCTATTTAACCTCCAGCAGTGTTTAGAAAAAGGAGCTCTGGTAGCATAATGGTTATGAAACGGGCTGCTAAACTCAAGGTCGGCAGTTCGAAACTACTAATGGTTCCACAGGAGAATGATGAGGCATTCTGCTCCTGTAAAGATTTACAGCCTCGGAAACCCTGTGCAGGGTGACTATGAGTTGGAACCAACTCCACAGTACTTAACAACAACAGTGTTTAGAAAAACAGGCAGCTGACTCCTAGAGGAGGTATGGGCTTTCTAAGAACAAGATGTGGCAAACTGATCTCATTCCTTCCTTGATAAGAGTTGCTAAACTAAGTTCACAGGAAAAGCCCATAAATATATCTTTCTATTCAGTAGACTTTTGGAAAGTCTTTCATGATTCCCTGGTAGATGTGGAGCAATTAGAGAAACCAGCTGTTTGAACAGTCACATTGCAAGTATATTGACAAGAAGATGAGTGTTAAACAAATGCTCTAACATGCCACTCTTGGTATTGCTTCACCAATGAACTTTTGAAGTGCCATCGAGTCAGTTCTAACTCATAGCATCCCTATATAGGGTTTCTGAAAAGCGGCTGATGAGTTTGAACCACTAACCTTGTAGTCCAGTGCTTATCCTATAGTGCCGGTTGTCGTTGTTTTTAAGTGCCGTGAAGTCAATTTTGACTCACAGTGACTCTGTATGGGGTTTCCAAGGAGCAGCTGGTGGACTTGAATCACTGATCATGCAGTTCAAGCCAACATTATAGTCCATTCCCTTAGCCCACAGCACCACACCAGGAACAACTAATATACTCTTGATCACAATTAAAACTCTTGAAATAAATGCATCTTAAAGGTCTGCATCTACCAGATGGAAAAAAAATGGGGGAAATTTGCCTTTCCAAGAACTAGATTCTTAACTTAACCAAAATAAACTGAGTTACTTTATAAAAGTAGCTAAGGCAACTGTCCTACTTAAAATGCAATGCACATCAGGGAAATTATCAAAAAGAGGGTGAGTTTGGATGATGCATGGGCTTTGGAAACACAAATTTCTATCTGACTTTTGACTCTGCCAGGTATCAACTCTGTTCATGAAAAGGGAGAAGAAAAGAAAAAGAGAAGCCAAAGTTTCAGTTGCCCGTCTATCAGTTTGACATGGATATCTGAATTATGATAAAAAATTTGATGAAAATAAAGATTTATGGAATACAAGCTGAATGAGAGACAGAACTGCCAGAGTCAACAATTGTGCATAACACATAATAAGTGCTCAGTAAATATTTGTTGTATAAATAAGTTAGCTTGCTTTTAATTCACCTTGTTAAATTGAAAATGGACTTTGCTTTGTTTGTTGGAAACTTGAAAAATGTAAAGATGAAATAACAATTACTCTTACTCTTGTCACTGAGACTTCTTCTAGCATGTTAGCCTATTTCTTTCACGTCTTCTATGTGCTTTTCACGTGGTTGAAATAATGTGATCATTATCATTGCCAAAAACTATTTTCTATATCATTAAAATCTTCATAAACACAATGCACAAAACCTTTAGCAGTTCATTTTATAGATGCAACTTAAGTTTCTTTAACCATTCACCTGTTGTTGGCTATTTAGGCTGTTATGAAATGTTTTATGTAGTTAAATAATGCTACCATAACTATCTCTGGATATAAAGCATTCCTATGTTTCAGAAACAGCTCAGAACTTTCTTGAAGTTAGTCACATTCAAAATAAACTGAGTTATTTTTGAAAATAGCCAACAAGGCTATTGTCCTTCTTAAAATGCAATGCACATCAGGGAAATGATTGAAAAAGAGGGTTAATTTGGATGATGCAAGAGCATTGACAATACAGATTTCTATCTGACTTTTGACTCTGCCAACTTCTATCTGACTTTTGACTCTGCCAGGTGTGAACTCTATAACATTGTAGACAAGGTTTCTTTCCTCCAATGCTGTTCTCTGCTCTATAAAATGGGAACAATAACATGGATTTAAGAATGAACAAATCTATCTTGGGAGAAGCACAGCCAGACTGTTCTTTGAAAGCGAGGATGACAAGACTTCGACTCAATTACTTTGGACATGTTATCAGGAGGGACCCGATCCTGGAGAAGGATATAGTGTTTGGTAAAGTAGGGGTCAGCAACAAAGAAGATCCTCAATGACACGGATTGGCACAGTGGCTGCAGCAGTGGGCCTAAGTATGACAACAGTGGTGAACATAACACAAGACCAGGCAGTGTTTCATTCTGCTGTATGTGGATCACTATGAGTCGGAACCAACTCAATGGCACCTAACAGCAATAGGAACATGGACTTTACTGTGTTGCAGTGAGGTAAAAAGGAAATACTGCCCCAAAGCATTGGATGTAATGATGACTCGGTAAATGGTGACAGCTGAGACTGCTGTTTCTTGTACCTTTAATATGTGATTTTTCAGATGCATTCCTTTCTTAAAAATTAGACAGACTTGATCATCTAGAGATAAGTGGCAGGGATGCTGAAAGAGATTATGTGGGCAGGGCCAGCTACATAATTTGTGGGGTCTTATACACAATGAGAAATGCAGGGCTCCTGCTTTATTTAAATTAAAAACGTTTAGATAATTTCAAGCTGGTGACAGTAGAACATTAACCAAGCACACACACTTTGTGACCAACATTGGGATTAATGTAAGCCTTTTGGCTCCATTTGATGACTTGATTCTTTTGACTTTAAAAATTGGAGGAAGGTTCATTAACAACCTACGATATACTAATGATGCAACCTGGATTACTGAAAATGAAGAGGATTTACTGATGAAGATCAAAGGTCATAGCCATTGGATTGTGTTGCATCTCAATGTAAAGAAGACAAAAGTCCTCACCACTGGACCAACACATAACACCCATATAAATGGAGAAAAGACTGAAGTTGTCAAAGACTTCATTTTGTTTGAATCAACAACCATCAACACTCATGGAAGTCAAGAAATCAAACAACACATTGCATTAGACAAAGCTGCTGCACAAGACCTCTTTAAAGTGTTCAAGAACAAAGATGTCAGTTTGAGAACTAAGGTGCGTCTGACCCAAGCCATGGTATTTTCAATAACTTCATATCCATGTAAAAGTTGGACAGTGAATAAAGAAGACTGTAGAAGAATTGATGCTTTTGAGTTATGGCGTTGGAGGAGAATATTAAAAGTACCATGGGAACTGCCAAAAGAACAAACCAATCTGTCTTGGAAGAAGTACAGCCAAAATGCTCCTTGGAAGCCCGGATGGCCAGACATCATCTCTTATATTTTGGTAATATGTTAGGAGGCCAGTCCCTGAAGACCCCCAACAAGATGGATTGGCACAGTGGCAAGAGGGATGGGCTCAAATGTAGCAACGATCATGAAGTTGGCCCAAGACTGGGTAGTGTTTCATTCTGTTCTGCATAGGGCCACTATGAGTTGGTACCGATTCGATGACACCTAACAACAACAACACCCAATCATTTGGTGGGCACTAAAACTTTGAATAGAAAAATCTATCAAGTAAATTCAAGGTACCACAGGCACAACTTCTGTAAATGTTATAACTTATGCAATTTTGAAACAATCATAATAGCAACTAAACTGTGTGTAGTTTAGGTAGATACATATGTATATTTGTGTATATGAAGGCATATTTGAGTGCATGCACATTTGAGTACATGCATATTTGAGTATATGTTTGGTGTATCTGTAGTCATATGTGTGTGCTACATATATATCTATATCTACATACATATATGGAGTCCTGGTGTGGCACTGTGGGTTAATGTGCCAGACCACAAAGTTGTTTGAACTGGAAGGTCACCAGCCACTCCTTCAAACTAAACTATGGGTCGGAACTGACTCGACAGCACTTAACAACAAACAACAACATACATATATAATAAAGTACATAGGGGCCACAGTTAATACAGACTTCCCAGACATGTCCATATAACATGCAGGATTGGCTTACTAGGTTAAAAGACTTAGGGCCATGGTCTCCTGAGATAGCTTAACATAGTTCAAAAGTTAATATTCTAAACCCTAATTTGGTGATCAGCATCTGGGGTTTTTAAATCTTGCAAACAGCCATCTAAAATACAGCTATTGGTCTCCACTTGTCTGAATAAAAAGAGACTGAAGTCTAAAAGAAGAAACTGAATCGATGCCATGACTGGTTTGGGCCTTACTGGACTGCTCGGCCACCACCAAGTGGAGAGCTGCAAGATCACCTCTTTCTTCTGTGTCAGTCTCTCAGGAAAATGAGTTCTTCTCAAGGAAGAAAGTCTGAGCCCACCAAACAATCCCTAAAGAAGCCAAAGTTACCTGAAGTTTATTTAGATGTACCTGAGGATTCCCATTTAGAGGAAGAACCACTAGAAAGAAAATGGATTCAGCCTTCCAGAAGAAACTCAGCTGTTTCATCTGCCTGAACTACCTTACAGACCCACACAATAGAAGCACAGCTTTTGAAGGCTCTGCCTATGCCTTTTCTGGGAAGAAGACAAACTGCCCATTGCCCCATTTGCAAGAAAACAACAGAACAGAAAGAGTTCAAAACCAATGTTCTTGTGAAGACTTTCGTCTTTTTGCAAATCACTGGCAATTCTCAGTTCCTACACTCTCAGGAACAGACGTGTGGGGCACACAAGAAGACTAAGATGATCTTCTGTGAAGCCAGTAAAAACCTGCTCTGTGTGCTTATCTCTAACTTTCAGGAGCATGAGGGTCACAGCCATTATTCCATAGGATATGCTACTGAGGATTACCAGGGAGAATCACTTAGAGCAAACAAGGTCCTTATGAGAAAAGACTCAAGAAAATCAAAGAAATCGAAAAGAGGAGTGCAAAATAACTCATAACTGGGGTCACTTTGTCTGTGTGCAGTCACGTATGCTCTCATCGGAAGCCACTTCCAGTTCTCTTTGATGAAAACCAACATTTAAAGGGACTGGAAAGTGAAGAAAAAAAATATTTTCTAGCAACTCAAGAAAAGTGAGGTGCAATGGTTCAGAAGTGAGTAAGAGAAATATATGAGGAGCTGATGTATATGTACAAGGGTTTGGGAGATTTAGTGGCAAGGATTGAGTTCGTGTAGCTGCATGTACCTCTGTCTGTGACTCCAGCATTCAATGCAAGGTTCATCTTGTACTGATAGAGAAAAATCACCCAATTTTCAGTGAATATTTTGCTCGACTATGAAACATGCAGTAAGAATTGTATACTGTTTGAGGATGTGAAACATTTGAAGCTTAGTTAAGATCTTCAAGATGTGCCATTACATTCTAGACGATATAATGGCTTTGCTGCATGGGGAGTCCTGGAATTCACCTCTGGAAAACATTACTGAGAGATAGACGTGAACAGCTCTTTGGAATGGGATGTGGCAGTCTGTAAGGATTCTTTTATAAGGAGGAATGGCCTAGTGGCCAGGTCTGTTAATGTTGTGAAGTGCTGTAAATTCAGTTCTGACTCACAGCGATCCTGTATGGGGTTTCCAAGGAGTAACTTGTGAGTTTGAACCACCAACCTTGTGGTTCAAACCAACTCTGTGGTCCAGTAGTCTATGGACATGGTTGTTCTTTTATGTCTGAAGAAGAGTAATCATTACAAACTCCTGAACACCTCACCAATGATTTTTCTGCATATAGAGAAACATCTGATGCACATTGGTGTCTCTGTTGACTTTGACAATAAAAGTGTGAGTTTTATTAATGTTTACAAAAGTTCCATCATATGCCTACACCAATGGATACAGTAGTTCAAAAGAGGGAACATATCTTTACAGCGAGGATCATTCCCACCCCCTCCATACACAGAGTAGACAGGGGTGGGCAACTTGGACATCGACTACACAAAATGGGGTGGGAAGGGCTACAAAGGCAAGAAGTGACTGTCTTACAAGCTTTCAAGAGGGAGTCTAGATCCAGTGGGTGTGGGGGAAGGTAAAATCTCCACTGAGTAGTAGTATCCAGTCTGTCTGGGTGGGGCTGATGAAAGGAGATGTGGATAGGTCTCTTCTGATACAATAGTGAATAACTGTTATCTGGACTGGTTGTGTGGGTGGGAAATGTAAAGGTAGATGTTTTGTAGCAATGGAGGGGAGTGATTAACTTTGCAGTCCAGGAGCCAAGTTCCCTGGGACCATCAAGGGAGAAGAGTGGAGAGCAGGACCCTACCCAGAGAAGCTGTGACACCAGAGATGGAGGCAGAGATGATGACGTGGAGAGATGGAGCAGCTGGGGACTTTAGACCCAGAGAGGGAGAGGGGCTGTGTGCTGATGACCAGGGGGGCCGGCTTGCAGGGTATACCCTTTGGTTGGTTGAGGATGCATGGAGGGAATTGTAACCATGGCAATAAAATTATATACTATAGAATAAATGTTAAGCTAATGTTCTCCCATGTAAACTAGCACATAATTCACAATAAAACATTTTTTTTTAAAGTTCCATCATATGGAACTACCTGATTGGCTCCTTCAGTTTTTCAGTCAGGTCTTTCTTTTGCACTAATCTCACATGATTAGAGAGTAGTCAGGAATATGGGAATTCCACAGCTGAAGGAACATTTCTCAACTGAAGCTACTCAGTTACACTTTACTGTCTGGTAGGTATTTTATTTGAATGTAAAATAAATGTTGTTATTAATTAAGGCTATAGCTTGAAATGAATGTAGAATGCTTATTTAATATTTAATAAAAACATCTTTTGTGACCCATTAAAAAAAGAAGAAACTCCACCGTAAGACAAATAACCCAAAAGAACCACAGCTTCTTCTAACATGAAAACAGAAGAAATAGATGGCGCACAGCTAACACTACCTACTATTCTAAACAGGGACACAATAGAAGGTCTCAAATTAGGATAAAAACTCAAAATCATAAAAATAAAAATTTAAAGGCCAGATACACTGGACCACTACAGACCAGAAGAACCCCTGAGATTATCTCCCTAAAATGTTCTTTGGACTAGGCAATGAAGCCACTCTAAAAGTCACCTTGCAGCAAAATTTTAGACTGGCCTATGAAATAAGCAGTATCATCCACAATATTTATCTTAAGCAATCATCTACATGAGACCAAATGGTCAACATTAGCCCAAAAGCAAGATGAAAAGTCAAGAAATGGAAGGGAAGCTAGCTGTTGATGATCTTGTCTGTTAACCTTCACTCAATTCACAATAAAAAGTTCTAAAAAATTAAAATAACAAATGGTTATAGCAGTACATCAACAGGAAGTGCCCGAAAGTTAAGCAGGATTCAGAAGAAGAATGAGAGGTATCATTGCTGGCATTAATTGGATCTTGGCTAAAATCAGAGAATAACAGAAAGATGTGTATTTGTGTTTTATTGACTATGCAAAGGCATTCGACTCCATGGATCATAACAAACTATGCATAACACTGTAGAGAACAGCTATTCCAGAGCACCTAATTGTGCTCATGAAGAACCTGTACTAAGACCAAAAGGCTGCTGTGCAAACAGAACAAAGGATACTGAATGGTTTAAAGTCAGGAAAGGTGTGTGCCAGGGTCGTATCTTTCACCACACTTTTTCAATCTGTATGTTAAAGAAATAATCCATGAAATTGGACTCTATGAAGAAAACTGTGGCATCAGGTTTGGAGGAAGACTCATTAACAACCTGCCATGTTCAGATGATATAACCTTGCTTGCTGGAAGCAAATAGGGCTTGAAGTACTTGTTGATGAATATTAGAGACCACAGTCTTCAGTATGGATTGCACCTCAATATAAAGAAAACAAAAATCTTCACAAATGAACAAATAAATAATATCATGATAAATGGAGAAAGACTGAAATTGTTAAGAATGTCATTTTACTTAGATTCATAATCAACACTCAATGGAAGCAGCAGTCAAGAAGCCAATTTATGTACTGCATTAGGTAATTCTGCTGCAAAAGACCTCTTTAAAATGACAAAAAGCAAAGATGTCATTTTGAGGACAAAGATGAATCTGACCCAAATCATGGTATTTTCATTGCATCATATGTAATAACGAATAAGGAAGACTGTAGAAGAATCAATGCACTTGAATTATGGTTTTGGCAAAGAATGTTGAAAGTACCATGGACTGCCAGAAGAACAAAGAGATCTGTCTTGGAAGAGGTGTGGCCAGAATGCTCCTTAGAGACTAGGATGGTGAGACTTTGTCTCTCACACTTCAGACATGTTATCAGGAGGGCCCAGTCCCTGGAGAAGGACATCATGCTAGGTAAAGTACAGGGTCAGCAAAAAGAAGAAGACCTCTTTTCCCAATGAGGTGGACTAACACCGTGACAGCAATAATGCTTGGTAAAATGGAATGTTATCCAAAGAAAACCTTCAACGAGATGTATTGACACGGAAGCAAACATAACAATTGAGAGGATGGCATAGGGTTTCTGAATTTCATGTTTCATTCTGTTGTGCATTATGGAGTCATTATGAGTCAGGACCAACTCACACCTAACAACAACAATCTCTATGGGAGCAAATCACCAAGGTTTGTTCTTCCACAGAGCAGCAGGTGAGTTCAAAACATTGCATTTGTACTCCTCAAGAGTCGAATTATTCTCCATCAATTTTTTATCATTGGTAACAAGGGTGGTTATTTGCAGAGTTTTCTGCACTATTTTAAAATATAAAAATTTCATTCTCAAGTGAAGGATCAATATATTTTCTGAATCTGAGTTCTTGTGCAAGCAAATTTCCACTTCATATTATAGTACATGAATAGCTAGCCTATCTGAATGGCTGTGGTGGATGTCTGATAAGAACTTCAGTTGCATAATTGCAATAAAATTACAAAAAAAAAAAAAGTCTATTGGAAACTGATAGTTACAACCCTCAAGTGTCATGTATTCATATACGTAATTCCACACTAAATACCTACTCTTGGCTAGAATGCAAATAGTAGTACAGTAGCAAATTTCCAATTAAGCCTTCCTATAGTATAGCAACGTTGGGTCCTGGATGGTATTATACGAGATCTTATGGAAATCAAAGTAAGCATCAGCCTTTTCCATCCTCACTGAGAATTTCATTTACCCACACTGGGAAAACAGAACTTGAAAAATCAATAGCTAAGTAATTAGTAGTCATTACCTGTCTGCTGTGCTTGAAAGACCAACCAGAATTTAGAGAATAAACAGGCGATTTCACACTAATGCTTTACTTTCAAATGAGGCTAAATTAAAGGTTGAGCTATTTTCAGAATATTCAAAAGAAGCTGCCCCACTTCATTTTTGTTTAGTTGCTTGGCTTCTGTAGATTTTATCCGGTATATAAATTGTTTATTAATTCATTTGACAAACATTTTTGAGTATCTGGATAATGAAGAAAGTCCCTTTTCCCGCAGTAAGACTTGTGTAATTGCCCATTTTGGAGGCTCCAAGGAACATTGCCTTCCCCTTGCCTTTTCTAACTTCTAGAGGTCATGACATGCCTTGACTTATAGCCTCTCCTTTCATCTGCAAAGCCAATAGCAGTGGGTCGAGCGTTTCACATTCTCATTTCTCTGGATCTCTTAGACTGGCCTCCCTCCTCCCCTATTAAGGATCTTTGTTATTTCCTCACATTTACCTGGATAATTGAGAATAATCTCTATTTTCAGCTGATTAGAACATTCATTCCTTCTGCAAACTTAATACTCCTTTGTAACCTGATATATTTATAAGTGCCAAGAATTAGAATGCAAACATCTTTTGTTGTTGTTAAGTGCTGTCAAGTTAGTTCTGACTCACAGCAACCCTGTATAAGGTTTCTAATGAGCGGCCATTGGGTTTGAACCACTAAACTTGTGATCTAGTGCTTATGTGACAGTGCCACACCAGGACAACTTAGACATCATTGTTTAGTCCATCACAGCCTCCGTCATTTCTTGAATATAGTCTGTATGTTACTTCCAGCCAGTCGACTGGACAGCATAATAGCTAAGGAAGTGGCCACTGCCAGAGCTGTATCACTTAGTCATCTGCCGTAACACCTTCGTTGCCAAGGCTCATTTGTGTCCCTTTGATGGTAGAATATGAAAGGCTCATCTTACTCTTAGAAATAAACTATGTATGGAAACTAAAAGTTAACCCTGTTCCAAATGCTCATGTTCATTGGTTTCATTCTATTCCATTACTCCAAACAACACTCTCCACACTCCACCCCACATTTTGCTATAGTTTCATTCTCATAATGCCTTGCCTTCAGTTGATTTGTAATTGATGGATTATGTGCTGTGAAATCGGTTCTAACTCAGCAAGCCCTGTATAGGGTTTCTGAGGCTATAAATCTTTACAGGAACAGAAAGCCTCATCTTTCTTCAATGGAACAGCTGGTCATTTCAAACTGCTGACCTTAAGGTTAGCAGGCCAACAATGTAAGCACTATGCTACCAGAGCTCTCAGCTAGGAGTCATCAAAGTCCTTTGTCTATAGATTATTGAAACTTAATAAAGAACTGCTCTTTTGGTTGTGTTATTAAGTTCCATTGAGTTGGAAGTGACTCATAGCAACCCTGTATGTGGTTCATGGAGCTGTAACTCTGCAGGATTAGAAAATCTCATCTTTCTTCAGTGGAACAGCTGGTGGACTCGAACCGCAGATCTTATGATGTGAAGTTGTACTTATCCTACCAAGATTCTGTTGTTGTTAAGTGCTGTTGAGTCCGTTCCAACTCATCGTGACTCTGTACAGTGTTTCTGGGGAGCCACTGCTAAATATGAACCACAAACGTCATGGTCAGCAGTTCAGTGCTTATTCTACAGCACCA